TCACACAGGGTGTTGTGTCTAGGGGCATCTTTATAAAGCTCCTGCTTTACATTTTCATAGCATATTTAAGCATTTTACCTTCTATTGTGGTGCATCCAAAACACTTGCTAATACTTGGTTCTAGAATTGCACCGATAGCGGTAGCGGTGCCAATACTAAGCATTTGCACTAGTACCTGAAACTGATACTGATATACAAAATGAATGGGCTCAAATCGCATTGCATAGAATTGTATGTTATTTGAACTGAAATCGTGCTACTTCAGCTGAAGAAGCAGTGCGATTCCTGTCCGAATCACATGCGGTTTCCCTGGTGCAATTTGCGGTGCGATTTGAGCCATTCATTTTGTATAGCTCAAATTACATTTCAAATTGCACCATGCCCATAGGGAAACTGCATGTGATTCAGACATGAATCGCACTGCATTCCTGTTCAAATCACATTTGATTATTTGCAGTGCGATTTGAGCCCATTCATTTTGTATGCACTCAAATCGCACCACCAAGGTATTGAATCGTTATCAGCAAGTACTTGAGCACAAGTATCAGTACTCATACTCTCCAATAAATAAACGGTATCTGTGCAACCCTGCCATTGGCTCCTGCTGCTGTCAATCACAGCCAGTGAGCCAGTGAGGAGAGATCGGGGTGGAACCGAGCCACACTCTGTGTTTTATGAACAATGTCCATTCACAGGAGCTTGGCCCAGGAGCAAGCCTGCTCTAGTGCCCTCATAGCAAGCGGTTTGCTATTGGGGGCACTCGACTGGGGGGAGGAACCATGACGGCCAACGGAGGACCCAAAGAGAAGAGGATCAGGGCTGCTCTGTGCAAAACCATTGCATGGAGCAGGTACTGTAACTATACCATGTTTGCAGTTCTTTTTTAATTGTAACCTTTAGCATTTACTTTAAGTGTTGTTAATATTATTGCATGTGCTTCTTGTTTACTTTTATGCATTTGATTTTCTAGGTACCACCAATGTCTTGGCCTATTCTCTGCATGGAATCAGACACTATGTAACTGCAGCATTGCACATCATTATGGGTAAGTGTTTTTCTTTGGGTAATTATAGACATTAAAGTAAACTTGTCCCAGATCTGGGTAATTCAAACTGAGCACAGCCCTACTCTCTCTCATTTACCAAGCCTTGCATTTGCTCTTTTAATGTTGTAAATGGCTCCGCTGGCCAACAGCAAGGCTTGAGATTGAGGGGAACAGGGTTAGGCTCAGTGTTTACAGGAGCAGTTTGGATTTTCATTTGTATATAATTTCAGCTGTCAGTATAAGAGAATCTTTAAAGTATAACTTTAGCCTCAACCATTTTTGTCTTGATTTGGATAGAAGCAAGAAGGGTTAGAAGCACTGTCAGTTTTTATTGGTGTCTTTGTAGGATTTTTCCTCTCACTTCTTGCTGTTGAGACTGCACAAGAGCAGGATGTCTCTTCTTGGGATAAATGCAGCACTTTTGTTAAGAGTACAGAAGGGTTAGAAACTGTCTTAGCTATTTGTTGCTGCCCGTGTCCCCTTTGAAGGGATAGGGATAGCCTGTTGTCAGTGGACAGGAAGTAGAGAAATTCTCTGTGTGATGCAGAGATCTCTCCCATTGATCAGCATCCATTGGCTGAAAGAGCTGATCAAATGCTGGTTTTCCAGCAGGACCGTTCAACGGCCTAGCTTCTGTTGAGAAGTCAGGGGTACACACGGACCAAAAGTCATCCGGTTCCCACTGAACCAGCCAATTTTCCGTCTGTATATACCCAGCTTTACTTTCATTTAATTTTCAGTGATACTTCAGTTGTAACAGTGGACTTCATGAGGACCTTGAGATACACAGTATTGTCTTGGAGCATTATAAAATATTTGATTTTATGTTCAAATACACTTCTATAAATATATTAAATCAGAACTACAGGCAACAAGTTACAACTTTCTCCCTGATTATACCAGCGTAAAGCCTTAACTTTTATTAACAAATGTGAAAACCAATGTACCTACCCTTAATTCTATTTTGATATCTGCCTCTGATAGTCCTTTGTGGCTCTGCTGTAAGTTCAGACCTGCAGGATCATGGGAGGGTCAAGAAGTACTCTTCATCACTACTGCTTAAATTGGGCATCCCCATAGGACTATACAGATAATGACATGCATTGGCAATGATTGACTGTAGCTGCCACTCACCTGTCCCACAATCCAGCGGTGTACTCACTGCAGCCGGTTTCACTCGCTGTCCTCGCTCCCCAGTGCCGGCATCTTAAGTGTGGGCACCTGGCTGTGACAGCGTCTGCTTACGATTGCCTAGGTAATCATAGCAGAAGTGAGAGCAGGTACTTGTCAAAAATGGGTACCCACCCCCCCCCCCTTCCCAAATGTGCTAATTCCTCACAGGGATTGGGGGACCGGTACTTAAAGTGGAACTTCCCCTTTTGGGTGGAGCTCTGCTTTCGGCTTCTTGACTAATTGGAGTTCTGCTTTAATTTAAATTCTAACTAAAAGAAAAACTTTTTTTATTCTAGTTTTGGATAGAGTGGAAAGGGATTAGAACTCCTGTCAGGTTTTTTGTCTGTGTTCCTAGTGGAGAGATCCACACTCTCTATTAGTCCTGTTTACCATTATCACCAAAAGCAAAAGAAAATACCAAACTCTTGAGTTGTCCTCAGAACAGGAATAGCAAGGCTATCTTCCAGTGAGGACACTAGTTCTGGTGACCCTGGTGACAACCAGGGATTCCCTCACTTTAGAGGGATTTTCTCTTACTTCCTTCTTTTGGCTGTGGGATAGGAAGTGAACGGAAATCTCCTCAATAGGACACAGGTGGCAAAAATAAACCATACAGGAGTTATAACCCTGTCTTACTCTATCCAAAATGAAAAAATAAATGTTTGCCTCTAGTTCTATTTTAAAGCTGAAGTTTTTTTGGGGGGATACAGTACCATGCACACTAGTAATGAGCAGTGTGCATCCCATTATCTGCAGGTGACTGCCGCTGCTAAAGTTCCTTCATGCAGTGACTCTTCACATCTGCCAGATTTTGCCTTACACAGCTGTCTTCCAGCACTGTAAGAGTCAGTTGCAGCCCCTGCTACAGAGAAAGGATAGGCCACTTGCCCAGCCCCTTCTGCCCTCTTCACTATTCACAGAATTCATATTACTATGCTCCCATACTGCATTGCGTTCTGTGTATGGGTGGTGGCATCCTGTCATTCAGTTGCTCCAGGCCTGCTTTGGTTTACGTTAACACAGCAAATGACCAGCTTGTAAATGCGCCCATTTGTACATCCAGGTGCAAAAGAGAGGTAACCAGTGTTGTGTATGCATAACACTCTCTATTCCAGGGGTCCTCAAACTACAGCCCGCGGGCCACATGCAGCCGCCGAGAACATTTATCCGTCCCGCCGGGCAGGGGCGTATCTGCCGCGAGGCAAGGGACTAGGGTTTGGCAGGTCGGGAGAGCTCGGCAGGGCTCATGCAGGAGGCAAGAGGGCGGGATCAGCAGTTCTAGAACAGGGGAAGGTGGGCTCGGCTTATGAACCCGCACCACTCACCTGGCCTTTCTGCAGCCAGCCGGCCATCTATTCTGATCAGTGCATGCAACCGTCACGGCCGGAGGGCGGAGCCTAGAGCTGACCAAGAAGAGGGGGAGCAAGAGAGGAGACTCCATCGCTGCATGTCGGGTATCACGGCCACGGACCCTAGATAAGTGCAATAGATGATCGATCCCCCTCCCTCTCTCTTTCCCCCCTCTCTCCTCTCTCCCCCTCTCCCTCCCCCCCTCTCTCTCCCTCCCCCCTCTCTCTCCCCCCTCTCCTCTCTCCCCCCCTCTCCTATCCCCCCTCTCTCCCCCCTCCTCTCCCCCCCCCTCTCTCTCCCCCCTCTTCCCTCCTCTCTCCCTCCTCCCCTCTCTCACTCCCCCTCCTCTCTCCCCCTCCTCCCCTCTCTCGCTCTCTCCCCCTCCTCTCTCTCCCCCCTCCCCCTGCCTCTTTCTCTCTCCCCCTTCCCCCTCTCTCCGCCCTTCCCCCTCTCTATCCCCCCTCCCCCCCTCCTCTCTCTATACCCCCCTCCTCTCTCTATACCCCCTCTCCCCTCCTCTCTCTCTCTCTCCCTCCTCTCTCTCTCCCCTCCTTATCTCCCCCACCCCTTCTCTCTCTCTTTGCATTGTACACAGATCTGACCCAACAAGCTGTCCTGCATTTACCGTATATTTCGCTCCATCAGACACACTTGGGGGGAAATGTCTGTGCATCTTATGGAGCGGCTGGCCCAGTGTTCCCACCGCTGTTGTATATCTGCAGTCTCTGGTCATCTGATGTACTATGTCCGCAGTCTCTGGTCATCTCATGTACTATGTCCGCAGTCTCTGGTCATCTCCTGTGCTGTGTCCGCAGTCTCTGGTCATCTCCTGTACTGTGTCCGCAGTCTCTGGTCATCTCCTGTACTATGTTCACAGTCTCTGGTCATCTCCTGTACTGTGTCCGCAGTCTCTGGTCATCTCCTGTACTATATCCGCAGTCTCTGGTCATTTCCTGTACTGTGTCCACAGTCTCTGGTCATCTCCTGTACTATATCCGCAGTCTCTGGTCATCTCATGTACTGTGTCCACAGTCTCTGGTCATCTCCTGTACTGTGTCCGCATTTGTTCATAGTTTTTTTTTTGGAACTATAGTCCGGCCCTCCAACGGTCTGAGGGACAGTGAACTGGCCCCCTGTTTAAAAAGTTTGAGGACCCCTGCTCTATTCACTGTAGATTGCTTGCTCATACAAAGTGTCAGCAGTCTGAATTGTGTTTATGTAATGAGTTTGGATAACCTTTTGGGTGATTCCTATCAACATTCATATAACTTGTGGTGTCACTTCTTAGGATAGATCAGAAGTGAAATGTTCTGCACAACCTATGTTGCAGTTTTGTTAGCCTTAGTTTCTATATTTCAATGTATAAGTGAATATATTTTACTTATAAGAATGCATTAACATTTACTGTAAAATTTCAGGAAACATCCAGCTAGTAGATGCCTGCACTTTCAGCAGCAACCACAAGCTCCTGCGGTTTGGGTTTTCATCCATGTTTGGATTTGGTGGAAGGACTCTTGCTCTTGCAGAAAAACATCGCTGGATGCCCTCCAGTCAGAGAAGAGATTTTGCTGTTATTAAAACACTCGCCAACTTAAAGTAGGTTTTTTCTTTCCATAAAAGATTTTTGATATGCAGTGTGCCTCTGAATTTGCCAGCAAATTTGACTATTCCATGAAGAGTTTATTCCCTAGAAGAGCCCTTTGACTGTCATAGTTCTCTCCTCTTCTTGAAGTGTAATTACTGTCTGCTGACCAAGTGCCCCTTTTATGTAACTACTGTAAAGGTAGCAATGAATGATTTGAGTGATAGCCCTGAGTCAGTTTAGGCTACTTATGCCACATCCAAGATGGCGGTGGCCAGGAACAATCAGGGCATTTGGATCTCTACACAAGGGAGGCTTTTTACAGGTGGATAATATGCCTTCAATTCATTAAGCGCACTATAATTTTATGGGAAGATTGTTGTTGAAATGAATAGTATGGTACCAGTGTCTCCTAAAGCGTTTGTAAAGGTAATATTTTTTTTCAAAAACATAACAAACATGTCTGTACTTAATTGCTCTCTGCAATGGATTTGCAAAGAGCGCCCGCGAACATCTTCTTCCCGGGCCCTTGCCGGCACTCCTGGCTCCTCCTCTCTGTCCAGTGTCCTCACAGGAAGCCGCTTTCCATGGGGGCAGTCATGCTTGCTTGTTCCCGAGCCCTGCTGCTGCATCCATTGACACAGTCAGCGGGACTTGGCCCTGCCCCCCCACTTCCTCGTTACTGGCTTTGATTGACAGCCCAGCAAAGCTGCAGACGTGCACTGCACTGGATCAAATGAGGGCTCAGGTAAGTAAAAGGGGGGGATGCTGATGCCTAAACATTTTTACCTTGCAAGGAATGCATTAAAGGTAAAACATGTTTGGGCTGTAGAGCCACTTTAAGTTTTATCCCTTATGTGTAAAAATATTGGGACTTTCCATATATATTAGGCAGTGCTTTTTTTAATGCGCTGCATCAAAGCAAGAGGTGTAAAATAGCCCTAAATACTGTATAGATCATGCTACCTATAGTTTCAAGGGGTAAAGTATTAAATAAAAAAGGACTGCCCTAAGCCCCCACCTCTGCAAGGCATAGCAAGAATTAGAGCAAACAGGTTCCTTGAATGGTATGTCCACAGTAACATCTGTAGCATATAGTGGCTATATAACATCATTAAATGACCTGGTACACAGCCAGTACATAGACTACAACTTACAGATTAGTGTCTGAACACCAACTTATACAGGCAAGCACTGAACAGTGACACCTCTCAACAGATATATTATAAGTCAGGTGGTTGCTTACTGGAATAGTATGTTGTAAAATGTACTTCTTGTTGCCTTTCAGTACACTTGTTTTGTTCTGAACAACTTCTATAATATTTAGAAAAAGGCTTGCTCCATTTCATGTGTAAAATTTGTATACGAAGTGGCGAAATGAGAATTTCTAAGTGGATCATGACGGTTATTATGCTACTCTTATTTTCTCTATCAGCTCACCCCCGACAGTTATTACCTTTGCATCACTTTTAGTTTTTAAGCTCTAATGAGTAGGGTCCTCTGATTCCTACTGTATGAAATTGTATTGTAACTGTACTGTTTGCTGTAATGTGGTAAAGCGCTGTGCAAACTGTTGGCACTATATAAATCCTGTACAATAATACAATTGTAATTTCACTGTGTTTAGTAGTGGTGAAGCATACTAGCTTTATATCCACAAATACACCTGCATATACTATTTGTTATGTAACTAAGATATTTAGCAGTAACATATGCAGGTATATAGGACAAACCTTTTTTTGATTAAATTAATTTTAGGTGTATATGTTGAATGAAAGTTTGCAAAGAACGGTCACTGATGCATTTGTTATGTTTTACAGACCAGAAATCTGTGAACTCTCGTTTTTACCTATAAGCCATCATCAATCCAGTTTTCACGAAGAGTACAAGTAAGGAAGGAAGTTTAACTGAATAAAAAAAGCAATTACTGTGGGCCCACTATTATAAAGTAAACCTGTGGTCAGATTATAGACATTCAAGTATTTACACACTCTAAAGAAGTAGTGGATGAGTTTTAAAATAGCTCACTGAATTCTGTAGCTGCAGGCATTCTGAAGCAATTTGTTCTCAGACTTCACAGTAGGAGCACTGAAGTCTTCCAATGCACAGCACAGCTCACCCTGCTCTGCCCTCCTAGCAGTGGAACAGCAGCACAGGTTAAGGGAGAGGGAACAGAGTAAACTGAGATGCTGAAAGAATGGTTTGGATGACCTATGTGCTTCTACTTTAAATTGAGCATACGGAGGGATCAGAAAAAAACTGAGCAAAACACTTTATATAAATATCTGAATGTCACAAACTATTACTTCTGTTCAGTCCTCAAAGAAACAAAATTACACTAACAAAAGCTGTTTTTAAAGAAGAAACTCCCTATGGCTGATATACAGCTAATGTACGTGTCCACAAGAGGGGCAGTAAATGAGAAGTTGGCATTTACAAGCCAGTGAATTTAAAGCCGAAGGTTAGCCAAAACAAAAAAAATCCTACAGCTTTAATCACATCATTTATCTGTAGTGAAGTACAGTGCCTTGAAAAAGTATTCACCCCCCTTGTAATTTTCCACAGTTTGTCATGTTACAACCAAAAATTTAAATGTATGTAATTTGGATTTTATTCGATAGACAAACACAAAGTGGCACATAATTGTGAAGTGGAAGGAAAATGGTAAATAGTTTTCAAAATTTTTTACAAATATCTGAAAAGTGTGGTGTGCATTTGTATCAGGCCCCCTGAGTCAATTCTTTGTAGAACCACCTTTTGCTGCAATTACAGATGCAAGTCTTTTTGGGGATGTCTCTACCAGCTTTGCACATCTAGAGAGTGAAATTATTGCCCATTCTTCTTTACAAAATAGCTCACGCTCTGTCAGATTGGATGGAGAGAGTCTATGAACAGCAATTTTCAAGTCTTGTCACAGATTCTCAATTGGATTTAGGTCTGGACTTTGACTGGTTCATTCTAACACATGAATATGCTTTGATCTAAACCATTCCATTGTAGCTCTGGCTGTATGTTTAGGGTCGTTGTCCTGCTGGAAGGTGAACCTCCGTCGCAGTCTCATATCTTTTGCAAACTCTAACAGGTTTTCTTCTAAGATTGCCCTGTTTTTGGCTCCATCCATCTTCCCATCAACTCTGACCAGCTTCCCTGTCCCTGCTGAAGAAAAGCATTCTCATAACATGATGCTGCCACCACCATGTTTCACGGTGGGGATGGTGTGTTCAGGGTGATGTGCAGTGTTAGTTTTCCGCCACACATAGCATTCTGCTTTTAGGCCAAAAAGTTACATTTTGGTTTCATCTGACCAGAGCACCTTCTTTTACATGTTTGCTTGCTGTGTCCCCCACATGGCTTCTCGCAAACTGCAAACGGGTCTTCTTATGACTTTCTTCAAACAATGGCTTTCTTCTTGCCACTCTTCCATAAAGGCCAGATTTGTGGATTACACTAATAATTGTTCTGTGGACAGATTCTCCCACCTGAGCTGTGGATCTCTGCAGCTCCTCCAGCATTACCATGGGCCTCATGGCTGCTTCTCTGATTAATGCTCTGCTTTCCCGGTCTGTCAGTTTAGGTGGATGGCCATGTCTTGATAGGTTTGCAGTTGTGCCATACTCTTTCCATTTTTGGATGATGAATTGAACAATGCTCCATGAGATGTTCAAAGCTTGGGAATTTTTTATAACCTAACCAAGCTTTAAACTTCTCAACAACTTTATCCCTGACCTGTCTGGTGTGTTCTTTGCCCATCATGATGCTGTTTGTTCACTAATGTTCTCTAACAAACCTCTGAGGGCTTCACAGAACAGCTGTATTTATACTGTAATTAAATTACACACAGGTGGACTCTATTTACTAATTAGGTGACTTCTGAAGGCAATTGGTTTCACTGGATTTTAGTTATGAGTATCAGAGTAAAGGGGGCTGAATACAAGTGCATGCCACACTTCACAATTATGTGCCACTTTGTGTTGGTCTATCACATAAAATCCCAATAAAATACATTTACGCTTTTGGTTGTAACATGACAAAATGTGGAAAATTTCAAGGGGTATGAATACTTTTTCAAGGCACCGTATGTCCCATGTTGTTCAGACAGCTGAATTCTGAAGAAACTGCAGAGATGCCTGTCCTCTTCCAGTTTCTAAACTTCTGGCGCTCTGGAGGAAACGTGTCTGTTAGACTCCCTGTACTGCAATTCTACCTGAAGACCTGAAGCTGTTCACTATTGCAGCACCAGAAGTTTGGACACAGGAAGAAAACAGGCATCCCTGCATTGAAGACTTCTCCAGGGACCAGCTGCCTGCACAACGTAAGACATACTTCATTACAGGTAGTTGATATGATTAAAACTGTGGGGATTTTTTTTTTTTTATCAAAAATTCAGCGTCAGCATCTGTAGCTGTAAAATTAATAGAATAACTCCTAAAAAGAAGTATTGATGATAATTTAAAAACACATAGCTTGCTAGAATTGGTTAGACAAATGATTTATTTATTTATATACTATATAGCAAATTTTGTGGACCAGGGTAGTGCTGTGGGCATAACCCATCTTGGTTTCAATAAAGCATTTGGTACAGTTAGATCTGCAGATGGCTAAAGTGTAGAGATCAGCATTTAGTTGTAAATGGGGTTCATTAGGAACAGAGACCAATACCTAATGGTGTACCACAAGGTTCTATATTGGGTCCTGTTAAATTTAATCTAAGGTTTGGTAGGCAAGGTATGTCTTTTTTTACTCATGACACAAAATTGTGCAATAGTGTTGATATTCCTGGAGGTATTTGTATCATAGAACACTATTTAGCATTGCTGGAAGATTGATCACAGCAATGGAAACTGCAGTTCAACATTTGTAATTGCAAAACGATGCATTTATAGAAAAACAATCCTAAAAATTATTGTTTTTATTGGGGGTACAATGTTGGCCGGAACTACAGAATAAAAAGATCTGAAGTTACTTATTTTAGGTGATTGCAAAGTGAGCATAGAGTGTGGGCTGGCTTTAGGAAAAGTGAATAGAATTCTAGGGTGTATCACTAGAGTGATTGCCAGCAGCAGGAAGGAAGTCTTTATTCCTGTTGTTTAGAATACTGTATCCAGCTTTGGAACCCTCACTTACAAAAATATGTTGATAAGATAGAATGAGTCCTAGACAGGTAATAAAATAGTGAAAGGACTGAGGGATAAAACAAATGAGGGGAGACTGCGGGTACTTAATATGGGACGTGACCTCAAACTAACAGGAGAAAAGTTCAAAATTAACATTGGAAAGCATTTTTTTTTACCAAAAGAGTAGTTGATGCTTGGTATAGTCTTCCAGCAGAGGTAGTAAGTGAATGTGACATACTTGTGAAAAACATAGATCTATACTCAAAACAGTCAAAAAGGTTAAAAAAAGGGTGGCAGACTTGATGGACCACATGGTCTTTGTTTCTGCTGTCACTCTTTGTTTCTATGGCTAAAGGTTTTTGGATACCTGACCATTCCACCCACTATATGTCCAAATGTATGTGCACTCCTCTAACAGTACTCTTCCATGACATGACCAGAACTGGAAAGTCCTCAGTCCTGAATACAGACTATGGGCCAGGTCTTCTCATCCAGCATAAGTAACCAGACCTCACAGGTACTTTTGTGGCTGAATTCCCTAATATGCAGTCCAGAAGTGGAGGCTGTTATTTCCACATAGCAGGGCTATAATGAGGGTGTTGGACTGGGTTGTCCAACAAGCTTATAGAGGCCTCATGGTCAAACGTTCACAAACTTATGGCCATACAGAATAAGAAATATAATGTAATTTAAGATGGATATAGACTTCTGAGAGTGGTCAGCCATACATACATAATCATACTTAAGCTACTCAGGCACTCCCATTCCAAGGAGCTGCAACATTAATGTAGAGGAAGATCGCAATGCTGCTCATTACAGGAAAATTATAGCCATCAAGGCATGTTTTCTGAATTGGAATATCCATTTGTTCTCCAGAGTGACCAGGGCAGGTGGCTGTCATCTCTTTACACTTAATTGCACTCTGTATTAAAATCCATTTTCTGTATGATCATTTAATTATTTAATACCAAGCATGTTTATACTGATATTATCATCTAATGTCTTTCCCTGTAGAAAGAAGAAAGATGAGAGTTGTATTGAGTCTGGTGAGTATCTATGCTAGAGACTGGGAAATTCATGTACTTGCTTGTAATGAGTTGTAATAACCATGTGTTTAACTTCGTCCAGAGAGCAAGGATCAATGGCAGCACATCCAGGGTCAGTTGCTGAATGTCAGCATTATGGCAATCCCATGCCTTTGTTCCATGGCCCCAAGAGGCCTGGCGCCTAATACCAGGTCAGTAGAAGCTTATAAGAATTACTCCTTTCTTCACTGCCAATTTGATTATAAACCTTTTGTAAATTGTTTCTGCAGATTGCTCCTGGATTCACCCTCTCTGTGGAGATGGGCTCTAGTCAGTCTTTAGGATTATAAGCAATTAGAGGATCTGTAAAATTAGGTCAAGTAGTTTAGCTAGAAAATTCCAAGTATTCATATTGTTATTGCATTATTTTATGAGCAAGCTAAGGATTTGTTATAGGCTAAAGATTTATGTAAAATGCACAAACAATGAAGTGTACAATTTAAACATTATGCAGCTCATATATAATACTAATATATATTTTATTTATATATAATATATACTCACTGAGCTGCATAAGTAGATATGCATGCAAAACATTTTCATTCTGCAGTTGCTTTGGATATTTATTATTTATAGAGGGACCTAGTGGCACATGCATATAATTCCTGGAGATGCTACTTTTGGCCACTATTTGATACTTTGGGTCATTGGATGCCTTTAGATGCACTTCTTAAGGTCAGAGACATCCCTTAGTGGCAGCTGTGCAATTCAGGCTCTTAAACTTTGACATCCCATAATCTACATATATTTGTGTTTATATATTCTCTAGGCTGAATGATGGAACAATGTCACTTATAGTTGCACGAAATACCTCAAGACAAGAATTTGTGAAGCACTTAAAGCGCTATGCCAGTCTGAAAAACCAGGTACTTGTTTTGATGCTTCCTTGTATTTGTTAAACAACGCATTAGATTAACATTGATGTCCTCTTAGGAAGACTTTATTTTCCGTTCCTGTCTGAGCACATTAGCCATTATGTGACTCACTTGTAAATCACCAATCAGACTAATGTAGCTTAGCCTTCTTTAATCCATCCCTCATACTATTAGTAACATAACACACTGGAGTGAATGAACTAAAGATCCAGGGCACACACAAAAAAGTATATGTAAAGACAAGGGGGAGATAAACTAGAGCAATAATTTAATCTTAAAGAACAAGCGCAGCTTTAAAAGACATTAGCTCCAAAATCCATCGCCCTGGCTGCACACCAGGAGTCTATTTTCCAGTCGAAAAACTGGACAGGTTAATTCTCAACTATAAAGCTGAACCAAACAACTGCTGATCCTGGGTACCTGATTTTTTTTTAAACTGCGAACCTATTCCACATTTGGAAATGCAACAAAATGTGTGCTTGCAGTGAGAATGAGCTCTATCCTCTATTATACCGCCCAGGTTAAAACCAATAGCTGTGGGTGGAAATGTTCTTTTAAATGGGGGTCAATTCGGAATTATTTTTGGAACGCATATATGTTCAAATAAATTCATTAACACTGAGTTATTCATTTACAAAATGACTTTATAACTCATTATTACTCATTTTCAGAGCAGGTGTTGTCTGGATAGATGGGACAATGAGGCAATTCATCCTCGCTGCTGAATTTTGCACAAAGTTTCATTTCCTGCCAAGCTTGGCTGCTGGTTGGCTCTAGCTCTCTTATTTGTAAGCTGCATGATGCCTGCTTGTCTCAGTGCTGTTCAACAAATAGTAAGAAACTGAAAAATATAATTGTGCTTTTATGCCAAGGTCTCCTGCACCCTTTTGCCACAAGGAAACACAGAGGTGTGAAGGTTCATTTAGTCAAATGGACAAAAACTGCTTCATGTTAAATTACAATCCGACTACAGTCTTCCTTCGTGTGTAATGCACACACATGGGCTTTCCTGCACTTTAACCTTCCTCGCAATGGAACTGGATGCAAAACTTTCACAATGGAATTGGATGCAGCTGTACTTGTCCCACACAGATTTACGTTAATATCACTGTGAAGACAGTGATGGGGATGGTCTTACATGCATGCTATTGAAGATGTGCATGTCAAGAAAGTAATCTCACAAGGATACCCCATATTATTATTATTATTATACAGGATTTATATAGTGCCAACAGTGTGCACAGTGCTTTACAATACAACGGGAGACAATACAGCTACAATACAGTTTAATACAAGAGGGTTAGGAGGGCCCTGCACCTTGGAGCTTACAATCTAAGAGTATATTAATGACCAATCTGAAATCCATAATATTCATTACATTTTGAAAGTCAGCCTGATTTTTTAATAAATTATAGAAGAAATTGTGGATAAGGGAAGACAAATGCCAAACACCTAACATACCTAAAGAGCAAGTTGTGTAAATTTTTACAGTCATTCTGTTAATAAGAACACACATTCCCCTGCTTCCTATAAGGCTTTGCATAAAAGATTCCTTAAAAAACGTCATCACTTAAATTGTGTTGCTTAACATAGTCTTTATAAAGATACCTCTGATAAGTAGTTAAAGAACTAAAAATGCATATGATGAAATTGCTGTGCATTTTAGAACATTTTCCATTGACAACAATTCAATTACAATCAGATAAGAACTACATTTAGACAGAAAAGGCTGTGATCATTAAAAACAAAGGCAACTTGAGAGTAAAAAAAACTAAAAAAAAAACATTCGTGTTAACAACAGTGCACTTTGCAGGAATCAAAAACATGCAAATTTGTAAAAAAAAACAGACACTAGCTTCTAGACTGGACTCTAAATTATTTGGCTTCCTCAGTTAGATGGAGTTGTTAGTGAATTTTGCATTTCTTACTATATAATGACCCCAGCAGTTTTAAAGACAAAAGGAAGTAGACCATACATTAGAGAAAAAAGATTGAACTCACTAAATGGCTAGTAAAATGGTTAATTGCTTAAAGAAATAAATATAAGCCTGGTAACATAAAGGTATATTCAGAAAATCAATAGAAATGGTTTAACCATCCTCTATATACCCCTTCATTACTAAGCCATTTTTCAGTTTTGTGATAGTTTGGCTGACAATTACTTGGCCATGCAATACTATACCTAAATTCATTTTATACCATTTTTTAGAAAGATAGAGCTTTGCTTTGATAGTATTTAACTACTAAGTGTCTTCTTTCGATCCCTTTTTTGGAAATGAAGAAAAATGTTGGTACATGTATCCATAGGGTGGTACTGTGGATTTCCTATTCATAACCTGTGCCATGCCCTATTAACAATTAAAAGGAAGACTATGACTGGATGGACTTTGTAGGCACATATGCATCAAACAATGTTTGATAAAACCTTAATTATCTTTATTACAAAAATTTATATACATAAGACAGGACAAAACAATTTTGCATAAAAGTGATACTGCATATATACCACAAATTGAAAAGAGGGGTTGCACCTAATACATAAACAAATTGAAATCCTTAAGCTCCCTAGCAACTGTGTAAACTATTAGTTACCAAAAAAGATCACCGATGGCTGGGATGACCTTGAACAGCTGTATGAATATATATAATATTCCAAGTGTGAGCTATTGCGATTTCAACTGGAATTGACTCTACGTGTTTCGTAACTACATGTCGCTTCTTCAGGAGCTAGAAAGGGTGCATCTAAAACAGAGTAAGACAAAAAATTTTTGTTTAGATCTTCATATAGCTATACAACCAGAAGATATACATATACATACAATATACCACCAAAGTGTACATATATTTACAGTTGTTGTGATTATTCACAATAAAATTATAATTAGTAGTTAACCATCAGAGGAGAAGAATATGCGCTGGGGCTAATGTTCAGACATGGAGGCACATCAGGGAACCAGGGACGGCACCATATAGCACAATTACAATTTAGTAGGAATAAAACACCTTGAATTTAATTGTTGATGGCCATAGTTGAATCATAGCCATAAAACAAGATATTGGCATACAGTTATGCACTTACTATAGATACTTGAGTGAAAGAAAACTGGGCCAGTTGGAGCAGGTAGTAGTAAATAGTCATCAACACTGTGAGTGGTGTACTTAAAAGCTACGATTAACAAAAAGAGAGGATTGGACATGATTACAATCTATATTCCAAAGCGCTTCAACCGCGTATGCAATGTTCTAGTACAGTGGTCTCCAAACTGCGGCCTGGGCCCGGATGCAGCTCTTTGCTTGCGTTTATCTGGCCCTTGGGGCACTATTTAATCCATTGACACCAAAGAATTCCTCCCAGTGATACCAAAAATGGGGCACAATTCCAACCAATGACACCAACGATGGGGCACAGTTCATCCCAATGATACCAAGAATGGATCCCAATGACCCCAATAATGGGGCACAATTCCTCTCACTAACACCAAAGATGGGGCATTGTTTATTCCCACTGATGCCGAGACATTTTCTGGTCCAGCCCCCCTAAAGTCTGAAGGGCAGTAAACTGGCCCTTTGCTTAGAAAGTTTGGAGACCCCTGTTCTAGTACAAAAAGTAAAATAACTTGATGCACATAGAAAGGTTGATACAGGTATTGATATAAGGGCCTAGATGTAGCAGATGTCAAGGGCTAGTCCAAATCCTGCTACAAACGCAGTAGTATAGTGGAGCTGAATTGAGCCTATAGAGTAATTTCTTCCCAATATAAAGCTAATGCTGAAAACATTACGCTCAGAATTAGTATCTCATCTGTGCTGCATAATGGGCATATTTACACCCCCAAACATTACTCTACTCAATTTTACCTGTCATCTGGGACCCAGCTGTCTGCCACTACCTCCAGGGGGAAAAAACACCACTTCGTTGGTGCCAATGGTGCACCATACTGCTTGTCCTAAATAGCCCTGATCGAGGCGTACACGCCACAATGCGGTTTGTGGCGTCATCCGATCTGACCAGTAGTAATGCGCACATGCTTAAGGCTGACGCATGCGCAGATGGATCCAAGCTTTCCGGAAAGTCACAGACCAATCAGGGGGAAGGGCCAGAATGGGAGGAGCCAGCTCATGGGCAGATATATGTAAGCCACCTCAAAGGTCTCAGACCAATCAGGGGAAAGGGACGGGATGTCCCCACAGCACGTG